GTGGGAAGACCGAGGCTGGAACGGTGAGTGCTCGGATTGCTGGAGCGCCGGTCTCGACCCGTGCGTACCGAAATGAAGCTGCCATGTGTGAGCTGTGAGTGACTGAGTGACGAGCGTGTAAGTAGCATGAATCATTCAGGGGGAAGAAGAAAAAAAAAAAAAAAGGAAAAAAAAAAGGAAAAAGATAACTCCGGAGCAATTATAAGGCGCTCCTGACAATTACTTGAGGAGCGGCTCTTAAAGGATTCAGTCAAGGAAGCTGCTCTTTCGCCTTGCTCAATAGGATAACCTTCAGCCCTTTCTGAGTTATTTTGTCCATAAAAAATCTTGGAGACTTGGAGAAAGGCTCACAAATTTATAAATTCAAATCAGTGTTCTTTCTAGACCCATCTTCCTGCCCCGAAGACCTATTTGTAGCTTTGAAACGGATAGTTTGCCATGCAGAACGAGTAACTTGCTAGTAACCATTATAAAACTAATGCTGTGTTAAAATGCAGTGTATAAATAAGCTACACATACATTAGTGGCAGCGTAAAATCACTACTCTCAGACATGCCAACTTTCTGTGTGAGAGCGACAGACAGATGAAATAAAGGATATGTTTACAAAATGGGCTTTGCTTTCTGAACGAGGGCTTCAGATTGGCTGATGGAAATCGGCGTATTCGGCTAAGTCACTTTTTTGGCGAAGTCCCCTATACGAGTAGCGCAGTTTTAAAAATGGAATGAACACCAGAGTAAGCCCCTGAGCTATTCGGGAGATCTCGTTTCATTGTAACTTGAGTCCTGTGATTTCCTTTCCTTACTCCGCAGCCTATGCCAAACCTACAGGATGTCTCAGGATGTCCAGAGGTTTTCTATGCGAGTTCTCGCTCCCTCTAGCGTGCTAGAGGTACTGCTGCACTTGGGGCACATACCGCGTGTGTGTGCCTCGGTGTGTACACGCACTGCAACTCGTTTCCTTTCTGCGGGAGCAGGAGAGCACCAGCAGGATAAAACAGCAATAATTTCACTATCACAGTGGCATATACTATGTGGTATATTTCTGACAATGTTTCTCATGGTTTTCTTACGTTAAAAAAAAAAACAAAACCACAAAACCCTAGTTTTGTTTTTTTTTTTTTTTTTTTTTTTGAGGCGGTTAGTGTCTCCGTCATTTTTTTTCTCTCCAGCCTCGAGAATGCCTTTCTTTTTTTGTATGACTCAGCATTACACAATATATACTCTGACTCCACAATGAAGTCAATACATTTGAGGGCACTCTGCAGTTTGTAAAACAAGTACTCAGGGCTCTGAATTAAGGGGAAAACTATATCACCCTTTATTCAAGTAACTGGAGTCTTTGCTTGTAAAAGCTGCCTTTTTTTATCAAACATCTTGCAGCTTACAACATCCCATTGATACCAGCAGCATGCATGGAATACTTAGAGGAAAAATAAAATCTGAATCACTAGCACTAGATCCTCAAACCTGTGGCTGACTACCAGGTGATTACCTTAAATGAAACACTTATCCCTTGCCCTACAAAACTTGTAGGTTTTTAGGATTAACTTCAACAGAGCTACTTTTTAATACTCATTTTCAGGTATGGCTGATTATCAGCAATTTCTAATGACTTATTGGAAACCCTGTCATCTTGACATCTTTAAAAATTGTGGCTCTTAAACCCAATGGAGACTTAGGTGCCTAGCTGGAAAAAGCCAGATAAAAGATTATGACTGCATATGAACATATGCCTCTGCCAGGCTGATGTTTGTTACATCAGACAGTTTATAACAACAAAATGGCATTTATTGATTTTAATCCACCTGTGCAAGTCATGAATATTTTATTTGTTCGATGATTTTACAGTATATCTAAAATGCTTTTTCTGTCAAATTTGTGGCACACACTACATATTTGATAGCTTAGACTGGCATCATAATTTTCTATACATTCATCAGGAAACTGCAGTTTTTTTCACACAGAAAAGTCAGAAATAAAATGTATGAAGGGAATGCCAATGAGTGCCAATAATACCTATATGCTGTGCCACGTCACTGTATATTGGATATATAGTGTATATTTATTTGGGGGGGGGGGGAAGTGAAACAAAAACAAAATTTAAAAGATTATTAGTAACAGCTTGGTGAGAAAGCTGTACTGTGGAGAGGCTAATACATAGACGAAATGCAAATCCTTAATCATAGGAATACACATATAGAAGGCTTACACTATCTGACAGATCAAGAAAAATACATTGAACACACTGTATAGGAGAAGCTCAACAAAGGAGGAAAGTCCAGTCTAAAAGCCCTAGCAATAACTTATATATGGAGGGGTTAAATTACGCTTTGCAAAACTACTTTTTGATACTTGAAATGTTTGTTTATTGGAAGCAGTAGTCTGACATAATCTAAAATAACAGATAGTAACAGGGCGTATCTCAAAAACAACTTTTTAAACATGCTGATTAATCATGAACATAGTACAACAGCATTCAGACTTTTTTGGGGAAATTTTCGTAACAAAATCTAGTAGTTTAGTATTCTGTCTTCAGCAAAGACAGGTAAACCTTTCTTCTTTCAAAAAAAGAAAATAAATAAGAAATATCCTCAATTAGAAGTGTTGAAATGAAAATCTTTACTCTCAGTGTGGAGGGTACTTAAGCATA